AATTCATACCTATCAATAATTACACTGAATTTGTGTAGTTCTTTTTTTTTGGAACACACAGTCAAGTGATGCAAATCAAAACAACAAGATATCTCACGCCAGCAATAACAGCAAAGGTCAATAAGATTGAAAAGAACAAATATTGGCGAGGGAGGGGAGAGACTGGAACTCTTATACACTGCTGATGGGACTGTAAAATGGTACAACCACTGAGAAAAATGGTGTGGCACTTCCTTAAAAAGTTGGAAATAGAAATAACATTTGATTCAGCTACTACTAGGTATATATCCTAGAGAAATAACAGTCGGGACCAAATATGCACACCCATGTTTATTACAGCATTATTTACAATAGCGAAGAGATGGAAACAACCTAACCCAATGCCATTGAGTCAGGTCTGACTCATAGCGACCCTTCCTTGGGTTTCCGAGGCGAATTCACTACAGAAGCAGATTGCTCAACCTTCCTTCCAGGGAGTGGCTGGTGGGTTTGACCACCAGCCTTCTGGTTAGCAGTCAGATGCCTTAGGCTCTATGCCACCAGAGCTCCCGGAAACAACCTAAGTGCCCATCAAATGGATGAATGGATAAAGAAACATACACCCAATGGAACACTATGCAACATTAAAGAATAATGAAAACTGTGTGAAACATCTATTAATGTGGATGAACCCAGAGGGTATTTTGCTGAGTGAAATAAGTCAATCACAAAAAGGCAAATACTATACGAGTCCATTATTATAAAAAGTCACAGAAAGGTTTATACACAGAAAGAAACATTCTTTGATGATTACGAGGGAGGAGAGGGGAGGAGAAATCACTAACTAGTTAATAGACAGGTATTAATGTGGGTAAAAGGAAAGGCAATACACAATAAAGGAATGATCAGCACAGTATCACTAAGGTAAAAGAAGACACAGAGAGGTGCCCAAGAGTTACACACACAATCATGCAATATCAGTAACAACAAACAACAACCTATGAGTGGATCCATAAGCAGCCAGACAAGCTGAACAGGTATGGGTAGACAAATGGAACTACACCTATGACCATAGGCAGGTGTGGCAGAGGATGTTTCTACATATGTATTTGTATGTGCGGTAATTATACACATGTATATAGTGGAACAATCGGGGGTAAAATTATGAAAACTTCTCAGCCATAACCAAACATCTTGAGGGAATAAGTCACCGGGCATGGGCGCTTAGGACCACAGCCTCGGGGGACAGCTAACTCAGCTGGTATAACATAGTGTACAGACAATATTCTACATCCTACTGTGGTGAGCAGTGACTGGGGTCTTTAAAGCTAGTGAGACATCACCCTAAGGGTGCAACTATTGGTCTCTCTCTGTCTGAAATAGAGAAGAGTGAAGAGAATTAAACATGCATGGAAACAAACAGTCCAAAGGACTAACAGACCACAGGAACCCAAACCTCTATGACCATGAGACCAGAAGAACGAGATGGTGCCCAACTATCACTACCAACCTCTCTGAAAAGGGTAACAGAAGGTCCTGGATGGAGTGGGAAGTGAATGTGGACAAAACTCAAAATCATAAAAATGACCAGGTTTACTGGTCTGACAGAGACTGGTAGAACCCCTTAGACTGTGGCCCTTAGTCACCCTTCAAGCCTGGAACTGAACTCACTCCCATGGTTCCACTTGCAGCCACACAACAGACAGGCCTATAAGGTGAATGACAGCACCAGGGAAGTATGCCCTCCTTAGAACAATCAACCATGTGAGATCAGAAGGGCGGCTTTTGCCCAGGGAGACAGCTCACCAGGTGGGAAGGGACAGGAGAGAGGGACAAGGGAAACAGGAACACGGAGAGGAAGCAGGAAGAGAGCTATGACAGTGTGAGGACTGCAGTCACTGTCATGAAACAAAATATGTGTGAACTGTTGAGTGGAAAACCAGTTTGTTCTGTAAACTTCATTCAAATCACAATAAAAGGTTAAAAAATAAAAAGATCACTTTGGCAAAGCAAGAACAGAAGCAAGAAGACCAGCCAGGAGGCCCTTGCCATTCAGGAGAGAGTTGTGAAAATAAGACAGACTTGAGGCTTGCCGGTTTGGGGGATAAGAAGGGCAATTAGCAGCATTTAATGGATCCTAAAAATACTGGCAAAATATACTGCACAGGAGCTAAGTCATTCATGCAATTCAACTGATAAAGACTGCGTCTAGGGAATATACTGAAGCCAATTGTTCATCTAACTCAAAGTCCTTCCACAGCCTACCATTTTGCACAATCTCTCCTGCACCGTCCTCTCCAACTCACCATCGCCCTGATTTCATCTCTTTTAGGCACCCTGTTCTAAGCTACACTAATCCTTGGCTGTTCCCTACGTCCCAGGTGTGTGCTATGACCAGGCCTCTGTTCTCTCTGCACTGAGTGGACTCTTATCCCAAATGTCCATAGGGCCTACGTCTTTACTTCCCTTAGGTCTTTTCCCAAACAACATCTTCTTAGTCAGACTTTCCCTTACTACCTGATTTTATATGCAACAATGTAGGGTAAACACTGTGCATACCTAACACTGTGAGGGTCCTGATAAAGGTACTGCAGGGGCTTATCAGGTTGTCCTGTTTTGATCATTGCTTTTGTAGACATGCTGGGCTGTAAGCCAGGGCTTGAAATAGCCCTGAGACATTTACAAGGACACCTGGACTCAAAGTTCTACTTCCTGGAACATGGGTGTGCAGGAGTAGGAGTCAAACATCATGTACGTCCTGGCAAAGGGCCTCTTTTGTGTACTTCAGTATAAAAACCGCCTGAAGCTTTAAGGTGGTACCATCTCTCTCTCTCTCTCTCTCTCTCTCTCTCTCTCTCTCTTTCCTGTCTGTCCAGCCTGCTGTCCCTGGACTCCCTGTAAGTAAACCAAAAAACCAAAGTCCATGTCGCAGAGCACAGCTCTGGGTCATTTTTCTAGTCTTCCGGCCCTTAGTGTAAGTACTGCCCTGAACTTATTGGGTGTTTCCCTCAAAAAAGTTTCTCTATCCCCCTTTTCTACTTTATTTTTCTCCATAACCTTATCATTTTAGGTACTATATTGTTGTTGTGCACAACAGTAAGGAGATTTCAACTCACAGCCAGCCTGCAGGACAGAACAGAACTGCCCCACAGGGTTTTCTAGGCTGTCATCTTCACAGAAGCAAAGCACCTGGGCTTTCTCCCAGGGAACCGCTGGTGAGGTTGAACTGCTGACCTTTGGGTTATGAGGCGAGCACTTAACCATTGTGCCACCAGGGTTTCTTTTGTCATGCTATGATAGAATGCAAATAGGAACTAATTCTTTCCAACTGAGCCATGGGGACTCTCTCTCTGTCTGAGCAAGCCAGAAGCAGCTGCAGCTGTGAGCTGTGGCATGTTGTTCAGCTACTGCTTCACGTCCAAGAGAAACTGGACTTGCCATCAATTTGCCACATGAAACATGCTGGACTATATACAATTCGGTTAACTAAGCTTCTAATATGCCTCTGACAGGCTGCCTGGGAACAGGACCCTGGGCTCTACACGACTGTGGCAAGAGGAGCCGTGTTCAGCGTGGTCAGAGTGGATGTGCACCCAACAGACCAGCTCTGACCACACCAGTGGGGCTTCCAGAAACACCTGCCTACTGACTACCACAGGGGCAGTGATGGTTCAGTGGCAGAATTCTCGCCGTGGGTACTGAGGCAGGGATGCCTAATAGCAAACAGACACTGGCCAGGGCCACACCATGCAGATAAAGAGGGTCTTACATGGATTCCTGCATA